CTGCTGACTTCGGTCTGGTTGTGTTATTCTGATTTTTGTATTCATACTGCTGTGAAATTGGTTTGTGGGTGTCCACTTCTGGATCTCTCCACCGGGTTTTGGCATCAAAAGCAATTTCATCCATCTCCTCCTTTTCGTAGCTGTGGGTCACTTTAAGTAATATGAGAGCAGAATTACCCGGGCCCAGGCCCACCAGGTGGCTGCTCTTTGAAAATTCCTTCCATGTTAGTGACCTGTTTGGGGTGGGCAGAGCCTGTTCCGGGGTGCCCAGCAATCCTGGACATGCCACGCTACCCTTGGCCACCTGCACAGCTTGCAGCCTCAGAGTGTGTGCAGAGAGGGCAGTGGGGGCGGGTCCTCAGTCCAGTTGTGGGGGCACTAATGTGAGAATGTCTTGATCTAGTCGATTGGAGGGTGGCGCTCTGAGTGTTGCTCCCGTCCTGCGCCCCTGAACTCTGACCTCAGGAAGCAGTAACTGAGCAGGGGGAGCAGAGGCAGGTCCCGGAGTGTTTCACACGCCGATCTGCCTGTAATTGTTCTGCTTAGAAGTTGAAAAATGATCAAGTGCTCAAAGAAAAACAATGAGATTTAAAGAAGGAAAAGCAGGAAGAGGAGGGGGATGAAGGAGAAGGTGGGGGGAGGGAGAGAGAGAGAGAGAGAGAAAATGAGAGACAGAGACAGGGAGGGAGGGAAGAGGGAAGAGGAAAGAGAAGAAACTGGCAGCCTCCGCCATTGGGTCTGGGAGCTGCATCAGAGCAGGTGGGCCCGCTCTCTTGGCTTAATGCTCTGCTGTCGCTGGCCCGTGATCCTTAATTTCATCTTTTGTGTTTTGTGGTGCGGATGGGATGATGAGGCAGGTGCAGAGGAGACGCCCAAACCTCTGCCCGCTCCTGTAGCTCCGTCCAGATCCGGCGTTCACAGTGCCATGGCATGGAGTTCAGCAAGACTCACGCACGTGCCAGCTAGAGCGGGTCATGCGTGCAGCCCAGTGGGCGTGGCGCGAGGCCACCCGGAAAGGCCACGCTTTACATTTGAACCAGAACTTGTTCCAAATACAGAAGGGGGCAGTGGTGGTCTGAGGAACTCAAAGGACCTGGGGCCCCCATCCTATCTTTTCTCACTCATTTGACTTTCCTGTACTGGCCGAGCACTTACGCTGAAACGGTGGCGTGCAAGGGGAGGGAAAGACAGGAAGACCCAGCGTGCTCCTTTCATCTCTCCCTCCCCATCAGCAAGCAGAAGGCAGAGAGTGTTGGTGCCAGCATCAAGAAGTGAAACAGCAGCGGGTAAGTGAGTGTCGTGCGTGGATTCCATTGTTCTGGTGAGAACAGAAGACACACACGTAGATGAACTGGGAAATATGAGCGGCATGATTTCAGTGATTTGGTGTCTGAGTTGAAAGCTCTTCTATCTGCATTTGAAACTGGCATTCTACCATAGAAAGAAGAAGAGCAAAATTCATGCTAGCAATTTAACATTTTAATTCTTCTTTACTGAGAAGAGAATTAAAGAGCAAGTAAACACCGTGGCCAGTCGGGAGCGCCTGGGGAAGGGAGGAGGAGGGTTCTGTCTTCAGCACCTTGAATTGCACTCTGCCCGGCTTTTGAACGAGGCAACTTTATTTCATTTTGCCTCAGGTCCCCCACATTCTGTCACTGGGCCTGTGTGAAGGATCCCAGTGGAAAAACAGACGAGGTCTGTGAAGTGGGTGGAGGCTGCCGCCAGGGCAGGGGGCTGATAGGAGACACCGTTTAGTCCTGCTCTCCTGCCCACCTTGGGATGGACTGGACCATGGGGAAGCCATCATGGGGACTGTTAGGGAGCTGCAAGATCCTCCTGGGCGGGCGGCACTGGTGACCACGGAGAGCTGCCCAGAGAGGCTTCTCAGCAGTGTCCGCTATGCCCATGGGCTGATGGAAGCATTCCTCCTCTGCGGACTCTGGGGAGGGAGGCAGCAAGGACTGGGGGTGGGTTTCAGGAAGAAGCCTGACACTCAGGGTCTTCCCTGCACCCGCCTGGCTTCTGTGCCTCCTACTGCAGGCCACCAGTAGAGCAGCTGCTGTTCCAACACCACTGGGTGCTCCCAGGCCAGAGTGCTCCCTGGGGATGCATGTCGGTCCACGTCTCTACGGCATTAGAGGAGGGGTGATTGGGAGTAAGCCCATGCAGGATCCAGGAGAGGGGCAGGTGCAGGCAGGGGAGCTTCAGACCCAGAGGCAGGTCTGAGCCTGTGAAAGAGACGGAGAGGGAAGGGGCTTGGGTAGGAAGAGTCTCAGACTGCAGTCCCCTTCCAGAAGCTTTTGGCCAAGCTGATGGGTGTCCCTGACACCCAAAGCTCTCCATTGCCAGGGTCTTGCAGTGGACGGAGGGGCCAGCACTGGCATCTCAGACTCTGTCTTTGATGAGGAGCAGTCAGGGAACAGGCAGCAAAGCTTAGTCTTGATGTAACAGTAATTGCTATAAACGTAAGTGGCTTAAATTCTAATTAAGAGGCAGAAACAGATTAGATTTAAAAATCTCAACAATGGGTTGCCTAAAAGAGATATGCTTTAAAAAGACACAAAAAGCTTAAAATTAAAAAGTTGGCAAAAGACATAGCAGGCAAATATGAACCAAAGGAAACTGGATTGACATGTCAATATATGACATTCAAACTTAAGGCAAAAACTAAAAAAAAGCTCCAAACACCAGACAAAGAAGGGCACACACGCGTCCGGGTGCAGGGAGCCGCAGAGTGATAACGCACGCCTGTGAAAGTCATTTCAGTCTAAAACTGTGGCCCCGACACACAGCAGGCAACACGTGCCAGACTGCTGGGAGAAGCAGCTGTTTTCACAGTGCTCACTGGAGTTGTTTAAAAATAATAATCATCGCTCACACTGACAAAAATTAGCAGGATCTCCAAATCCTGATCAATGCTGTTAGTAACCTTAAAAAGCCTTTCTCTCTGGGATCTCACCTTACTAGTCAACAATGAGCAATCCTGAACTATGACATGATACACAGAACTCTCTGCCCATCAAGCAGAGGATGCAGCCATTCTGAACACATGTAGAACGTGTGAAATAAGACTGTGTTAGGATTAAAGACGCCTCGCTGAATCCTGGAGGAACAGGGCCGTGCGGACTGGATGGCTGGCCAGTTGGACTGATTGTGCTTCTGTTGAGTTCCCTTTGCCCATTCTTTGGGAGACCACCCTAAATGGACCATACTCCTTGGGTGCCCCTGCCCTCCAGCTTCCCCTTGGGTTCAGCCAAAGCACTACTGGATTGGGGGAGGAGGGAGCGTGAGGTCCAGGGTTTGCTGCCCTGGCTCTCTCCCTTGGAAACTGTGGCTGGCTGCAGCCCCCAACCTGAGCCTCTGCTTCTGCCCACCCCACTCCCCACAGGCAGTAAGGCTGCAGTGCCACCAAGCCCTTGGGGCTCTCTGAGCTCCTGCCCACACCTTTGTTGATAGTCTCTTTATCGAGCACTTCTCAAATTACCCGATTTGAGTGTGCCATCTGCTTCCTGCCAGGACCTTGACTGAATACAGGCTTGTTCTCTGACAATAATGCAGTTAAATTAGAACCTGATAACAAAAGGTTGCAATGAAAGAAACGCCACTGAAAAGTAAATAACGTTATTAAATAACCCTGGTTTAAAAGGAGATCATCAGGGACAGTAGAAAATATTAGATCTGAATGATAATGAAAACATTTTATGTCCAAATTTGTGAGATTCAGCCGAGGCAGTCCCGTAGATGGGGTTTTGTAGCTTTTAATACAGTAGATGTGTTGGAAAGTCGGAAGGCTTAGAAAGGAGCTACTAGTTCAAGGCAGAGGAACAGATGGAATGCAAAGAACCACAAAGGAAGGAAATAAGACAGAAGGGCAGAAGCAATGAATTCACGGGAAAAACGTTTAACACAAGTGAGTCGGACCTCTGAGAATACTGAAAAATATTGAGAGAGAAAAATGCAAACAACAAAACACAGGCCAAGTGCACGCCCGTCATCCCAGCACTGCGAGACGCCAAGGCGGGTGGTGGCTTGAGGTCAGGAGTTTAAGACCAGCCTGGGCAACATGGCAGAGTCCTGTCTCTACAGAAAATGCAAAAATTAGCCAGGCATGGTGCCACACACCTATAGTTCCAGCTACTAGGGAGGCTGAGGTGGGAGGATGGCTTGAGGTCAGGAGTTTAAGACCAGCCTGGGCAACATGGCAGAGTCCTGTCTCTACAGAAAATGCAAAAATTAGCCGGGCATGGTGCCACACACCTATAGTTCCAGCTACTAGGGAGGCTGAGGTGGGAGGATGGCTTGAGCTGGGGAGGTTGAGGTTGCAGTGAGCCAAGATGGCACCACTCACTCCAACTTGGGAGACAGAGCAAGACCTCATTTTTTTTTTTTTTAAAGCCAGAATATAAGGAAACAAGCATAGAACCTGTAGATATAGATAAAAAAGATATGCTACTCATTTAAATATTAATGTGAAATAGATTAATTCCCAGAAAAATGTCAATTGCTTCAAGAAATAGAGAACTTTCCAGACTAATAAGCATGAGGAAAACGGGGGGTGATAAAGACCCCGGCCCCAGACGCCCAGATGGTTTTACTGTTTCTACCACGTTAGGAAGAATAATTGATTTCTCTCTCAGGCCAGTGGTTCCAGGGAATAGCGAAGGAGGAGGAGCTGCCCGGCTGGTTTCCGCGGGCTGGGGCTGGGAGTGGGCGCCCGTGGCTGTGCACCTGCCGCTGTTACTGCAACGCGCTGGCCTCCAGCTGTGGGGACTGAGGTGAAGCCGGCTCTCCCTGGCGTGTGGATGAAATGGTTAACGGAGGGGCCCTAGGGCAGCGCAGGCCCCTGCTGGGCGCCAGGGAGGCTTAGCCAGGATGCCCATGGCAGGGGCTGGGCTGGGGGGTACCCGGCCCTGAGGGTCAGGGTGGCCCGAGGTCCATGCACCCCCCACACCGCAGTGCGGGGAGGTCCCCGTGGACAAGCCGCCCAGAGGCTTTGTGGAAGGTGCCCAGCCCTGGGCGGTGGAGGAGGGCGGCGGCGCGCACGGAGATGTCACTCAACCCATGGAACCGCGAACGCAGCGCGGCTGGGGGCGGGTGACGCAGGCTGGGGTTTGCTGCGGTGGCCCCCGAGCGGCTTGTGACCTGGGGGTCCAGAGGAGTTAAGCTGGACAGGCCCGGGTGAGGACAATGGGGGCCTGGAGAGGTGGGGCGAGAGGAGGGCGGGGGGTCCCACGGGCCGCGGCGGAGGCGAGGCGGCGGGTTGCATCATCCCGCGGGGCCGGAGCGGGGCTCGGCCACCGCTGCTTTTCTCCGGCGCCCGGGCCGAGGCAAGATGCGATTTCACCGCGCACCTGTTACACCCGGAGCCAGCATCCCTCCCTCCCCCGCCCCGCCCGCCCCCCACGACGCGTCTGTCGCGGGCTCCGGGCGCGGGCAGGTGGACGTTTTACGATTTCACTGGAAAGGGGCCAGGGCGGGGGAGGCCCGGCGAGGGGTCCGCGGGCAAGGTCAGGGGCACGAGGGGCTTCGGGACCGGGCGCTCCGGGTCCCCCCTGCGAGGTCTCAGGGGCGCGCCGGGACCGGGGACGCCGCGTCCGAGCTGAGCCGGCGTCCGCCCCTCACCCTCCGCGGGGCCCGCCGCGGTGTCAGCGGTGACGTCACGGCCCGGCCCCGGCCCCCTCCGTCCCCAGCCCCGTCCCCGCGGCGGCCGCGTCGCCCGTCCCTCTCCCCGCGCGACAAACCAGCTGGCGGCTGGAGCTCGGGCGCCGCGAGCAGCCAACCAGCGCCTCGGGAGGGGCGCGGGGCGGGCCGGGCCGGGGGCGCGCAGCCCGTCACGCGGCGCCGCCGTCACAGCGCAGAGCAGCCGGCGAGCGGCAGCAGCTCCGGGCTCAGGAGCCCGCGCCCTGCCGGTGCCCATGCGGGGCGGCCGCCAGTGACGCCGGAGAGGTAAGGCCGCCGCCGCCCGCCCGGCCTCCCGCGCCCTCGCCCCTCGCCTGCGCCCGCAGCCCTCACCTGCACCCACTGCGCCCGGGGCGGGGAGCTCGGGCCGGCGCCCTCATTGCGGCCGGAAGCGCGGGCACCGCGAGGCTCCTTCCCTTCCCGACCGTCCTCCATCCCCGCAGAGAACAATGGCGAAATTCTGGGGTGTCCGCCCTTCAGGCGCCGCTCGGAAAGGCTCTTTCGCCGCGATCGCCACTGCAGCCGGGCCCTGGGCTCAGGGGGGCGGGGATCGCCTTGGGGAGGGCGCGCCCTGCCTGCGGGATCCGGGGACCCCCGCCCTTCCCAGGCTAACCCGCTCCCCCGGAGAGGAGCCGTCGGCGGGGAGGCGCCCAGACGGCGGGGGAGGGGAGGGGAGGGATGGAGAACCGGGCTGAGGACGCGGACGCGGCACCTGGGAGGGTGAGAGCGCGCAGGGCAGCCGGGCGCGGGCAGCTGCTCTGGTCCCCGGCGTGGGGGAGGGCGGATACTGGAGCCGGGAGCAAAACAGGCAGGCGGGGCAGGGGCTGCGGCGCTGGGGCCCGGCCACCCGCTTTGTCGCACCGCCGGGCTGCCCATCAGCCCCTCCCCCTCCGCGTCCCCTCCCCGGAGACCCCAGCTCCCTTCCAGAAAGACCCAGCATCGGGAGGGGCCGCCGGCGCGCACCGCCTGCGTCTCAGCAGCCAGCGCCCGGTAACAGGTGTGGCCCGGGGCGGGGGAGGGGCTGCGGCGTCCAAGCTCACGGCGCCCGGGCTCGGGTGACACGAGCGGACAGTGGCCGCGGAGACCTTCGCACTCCCGCTTTAAGCTGCACCTCACGCCGACTTCCCCCAAACCCGGGGCACAGCCTTCCGCTGGGGAAGGGCCGGGGCAGCATCCCCGCCGGGAGGCAGGGTCCGCAGGCACCCGGCGCGAGGCGCGAGACCGTGTGCGTGGGTAGGTGGGGTTGGGGGGGGGGCCCTGCCGGCCTCAGGGGCGTGGGGGAGGGGACGGAGGGAATGCCAAGTCATGGGGCCTGCTGGGCGCGAGCGCGACGTCGCCCGGCGCGGACCCGATGCGCGCCCACGTCCCCAGGAATAGGGACATTTCCCCAGAGACCGGAGGACCCTCCCCAAGCGGCGGCCCTTTCCCAGGGGTGCCCGCATTGCCGGGACTAAAGGCCTGCAGGGCAAGAGGATTGGATCTTGCGGCTGCGGAGAGGCCTCGGCCGGGTCGCGCAAGGCTGGTACCGGTCTCACCCTGGGGACGCACAGCGCGACACCGAGGTGGGCTCTGCGGGACACGCGGTGGCACTCAGGCTGGCGAGGCCTTTGCCGGGGGACCATGCCAGCGGCCTCGTGGTCTGAGAAGGCAGCAGAGGGTTTGGAGGGGAAGCCCTGGGGTCCAAGGGGGTTGGGGCTGCACCTGCGGCGGCCATTTTGCAGGTGTGGTTGGCCTCAGCGGGCTGTGGAGTGGGGAGTCAGGAGTGGGCAGGTGTGGAGCCTGTGGTGGAGACGGGGCTGGCGGTACAGGGTGTGGGTCGGGCCAGGGCCAGAGCTCAGCTGTGCCCTTGTGTTGAACACACACCGCTATTTAGAGGGGTTCCTTGTTAGGGTGATGGGGTGGTTGAGATGAAGACCCAGGAACCGTCTGGACTGGAGGGACGCAGGCTACTGGCTCAGGTGCCCGGGTGGGGCCAGGGGAGCTCAGCCTTTACCTGGGGTGAAGTCTCCCGAGGGTGCTGGGTCCAAGGCGGGCCTGGATGACCAGCTTCACCCTGGGCTGCAGGTGGATCTGAGACCCTGCGGCTTTCCTCCCCCTGCGAGGTCCACGGGGCCGGGAAACACTGGAATCAGGTGCCAAGGCAGGTTTCCTGGCCCGGCCCAGGGAGGCCCCTGTGGTGGAGCCCACAACATGTCTGCTGTGTCCCAGCCCTGCTCCCTGCCCGCGCCCCCCCTGGGTGCCTCCTTTCCCCTTCCCCCTGGAATGTCCCACAGACTGCCCCATCTGGGGCTCTGCCGAGTCAGCCACTGACAGGAGGAGCCTGGAATTCTGCCCAAAGCCCGGGGATGGTGCTTGGCTAGGCCGAGATTCAAACCGAGGCCACCGCATGGCCACCTGGCCTGGGCCTCGCGGTCCTCACTGCTGTCGTGACTGCTGACCTTGGGCCCACCATGCCCTTTGGGAGTAGGGTAGGGCAGTCCTCCTGTGGGATTTGTGGAGGGTGGAGGGTGAGACGGCTACGTAGCCTCTGGAGAAGGCCCTGGAGAGACTGGGGACGTCTCTTCAGGCCACTTGGTTAGGCCAGCCAAAGCGGGTGAGCTGGGCGGGGCGGGGCCAGGAAGGGAGACATTGCATTGAGCCCTGATCCTACAGAATTGGGGTCTGTGGAGGGGCTGCCAGCATTAGGCAGTTACAATTGACAGAGGCCTGCACATGCCCAGCTGGCCAGTCCCTCAGGCCTGAGACCATCTGTGCACATCTTATCAGTGATCTGCAAGGGACCTGAGCTGCCACCACAGGTGGAGAGGGGAGGGCCTGGGTCACTGAGTGGCTGTGATTGGTAGGGTGAGCACGAGGCTGTCTGCCTTCAGAGTCTGGGGGCCTTTCTAGGACGTTGCCACATTCAGTGTACTTAGGCCCTAAGGACATGGCTCACCCCCCAATTCGGGAGACCAAAGCGACTTGATGTGTTGCCTCCCACTGCCTGTCTCCCCTCCATGCCCAGCAGCATCTCTGAGAACTCTGGGGGCTGGGCTACACCCTGCCCCGACCCTGTCCATGGGTGGCCTGGGTGCCCAGGGACACAGGCAGGCAGCGTGGGTCCTTGCCGGGTTCTGCACCTTAGATGGTGGCCTCGGGCCACAGGCCCATCCCCGCTGGAGGGAGGATTGGGATCCCAGAGCCTTGCATCCTATCCTTTGGCACGGCACCTGGGGGGGGCACGGGCACAGGTAGGGCACAGCGGTCCCACCTGACTAAGCAAGCTTGCTCTTTAGCTCCTGAGATCCACTGGGATCTCGGCCCTCTGACTGGCCTCTCGCCACCCCAGGGCCCCCACCCTCAGGGCTTCGAGAACCCTGGGAAGAGCTGGCTGGGCCTGGCCTGAGAACTGCAGATGGGGGTGCTACAGGGCAGAGGGCACAGTCAAGGTCAGCAGCCGGTGGAGCTGAGCCTCCTGACCCTTGGGCTCCTCCCCAGCCCGTGCTGCAGGCTTCAGCCTCCTGCAGGCCTGGCGCAGTGTGGAGATTGATCTGGATGTGTGGATGTGGGGCGTGGATGTGGGACTCGGTCTGGGGTTGCCAGAATCCGAGGAGGAGGGGCTACTGCATCTCTAAAGCCTCCTCTCCCTGGATTTAATCTCCTAATCCCAGGCCCTGGAGGCCCAGCCCTGACTGCCACGGAGCTGGGGGATTCTGATGGCTTTCGGGGACTCCCGCCTGCGTGCCATCCCCACCAGATTTCAGAATGACCTGAAGTCTAGGTAGGGCAGGCCAGTGCCTGGCTGTCCAGGCATCCCTGCGCCTCTCCTCATCCCTTCCCACAGTGCCCTTGAGGGGGCCAGAGCAGTCATCTGGCCACATACACTTATAGTCACATGCATTCACTTGGACACACACACACACACGCACACATGCACACACGCACACATTGCACACACTGACACACATGCACATGTACACACACACGGACACGTACATACACTGACACATGCACACTGACATGCACATGCACACATGCACACTGACATACCACACATACATTCACACATGCACACACATGCACACTGACACACCACACATTCACACAGACATACACACATACATGCTCATGCACACACACCCACACATACATTCACAGAGACATACACACATACATGCTCATGCACACACACCCACACATACATTCACACACTCATGCACACATGCACACTCAGACCCACACATACATTTAGACACACACTCATACACACATACATGCTTATGTATACATGCACTCACACACCCACACATACATTCACACACACACTCATGCACACCTGCACACTGACACACCACACATACACACACGGACATACACACATGCTCATGCACACGTGCACACACACCCACACACATTCACACACACTCATGCACACATGCACACTCACACCCACACATACATTCACACACACATACATGCTCATGCACACATGTATACTCACACACCCACACATTCACACA